TAACACCTGGCAAATGCAAGTTTGCCAAGCCTTGAAAGCTTCCCGACAATCATGGACAGATCCCGCCGGTTGCCGTCGGACCGGCAGCAGGACCTGCACCGCCAGATCCTGCCGAAGTAGCAGCACCTCCACCTGAGGCACCAGCAGCACCGGCACTTACGCGACTGAGAGCACCTAGACCTGGCTTGAGAGCTGGATCTACCGCAGGCGCAAGCAGTCACGAGATCACTGTTGGAAGACATGCTGCTGACTCTGCTGCAGGGCAACCTGCCTCAAGCGGAGCTGGTAGCTCGGATGACCACCTCCAACTACCACAGATTAGAGTCAGACGTGGTCGACAGCAACGTGGAGAAGCGCATCCACCACCACCAGCAGGGAACCCTGCCGCTCGACCACGACTACCAGACTGGCCACGGTTCGATGTACAAATTAGTCTACAAAATTCACGAAGCCTTGGCCCCAGCGTGGTAACACGCGAGTTGCGAAAGTTACATTTACGCTGGTTCTATGCGAAAGATCATAAGATGAGACTCATCTTAAGCAAAGTAGGTCTGGACAGTGTTAGACTCAACCTTATCAAGGGCGTCTGCGGCACGTGCCGAGAATGCAGAGCTTGGGACAAACCTGGACACACGGTTATGCCCTCTACTGCATTACCTGGCTATTTAAATGATGAAGTGGAATGTGACTTGATGTTCTACCAGCAAGAACACAACATATTTGACATTATCGATCGTTGTATACGGTATGCGACTGGGATGGAAATACCAGGCAAAACGATGACTACTATCCTAGATGCATATCATCAGTGCTGGATGCAGTTTGGACCAGCTAAGGTACTTTACTCGGATGGAGAGGGTGCCCTTAATAATGACACTGCGAAGGCTGTCCTCAAGGCAAAAGGCACTGAACTTAGACTGCGCGCGCGTGAACAGCACGCTACGACGATCGAGTCCAGAAATGGCATCCTACGTCATCTACCTCACGTAATGGAGGCTGAACTCAATAGGTTAGACATACCACTTGTGTTCATTAGACTACTGCATGAAGCCTTGCCTGCTGCCAACGCATTCACTTTCTACGACGAGGTGTCTCCATGCAATGCACTATTTGGACGGCAGCCAGCAATGCTCCCTGACCTCCCTGTTCTGGACCACGAGCAGTCGACAGAAACATCAGACCATTCTCGTGAACAGACAATACGCAGGGTATGCATTGAGGCGGTCACACAGGCCACGGCAGTAGCTAAGACCAATCGTTCTCTACGCACTAAGACGACAATCACAGGTCAGCACTATTATGACGAAGGAGACTTGGTTGATTACCATCGCCCTACGACTACTAAAGATGACTGGGGAGGCTGGAATGGCCCGTTCCCAGTTGCAAGGAATGATCCCGAAAGGGGTCAGGTCATTATCCGAGTAGGCAATCGAGATGTTCAAGTACAATACGGCGATGCAAGACACTCGCTCTACATTGAAGCACTCATAGCCCGAGAGATTGGCTCCGACAACACTGCGCTACGCACAGTGTTGACATTCGTAGGTAGCCTTTCAGCGGGGAGACCTGCGTGGACATTTGGCTATGTGCCGACCAAGAAAGGCACGCTTCAGATGACAACGGCAAGTCGCCTATCTCCAAAGGTACACATGGCCTTACAAGATCTCATCAGAAACTTCTCCCGTATCGAGAATGTAGCTTCCGTCAGATTAGCCGAGAGTATTCATAAGCTACACCCGGTTACTTATGCTGACCGTTGCACATTGGTGCATTGCGATAACGACGTGGATCCAAGATTCCACTACTATGAAGCAGAAGGTATTGCTCTGAATATACATGCTATAACTGGATCAGCACATTCACGAATCATCCAATGCCTGAAGTCCACCAAACCTCAGGCAGGCTTCGATCAGGACATGTCAAAGTTCGAGGATTTGGCTGGTGCGCCGACACCTGAGGGAGCCGCTAGAGAGGCTTCAGAAGCCGAACCAGAACATGATGACGGACGGCCATCTACGATCTACGAGGAATCAGAAGCTGATCTTGACACATATCACGGAGTTACGGTGCGCAGAGCTGCGAGAGGGAAAGAAGGAATTGTTGGAGGCAGCTCCACTAGAAGACCTCTTTATCGTACCCACACAGATGGTTCCTGATCAGAGTTCGTTGATCACTGTAGCTGATGAACAGCGGGGGCACCTGCCGAAGTGGGGGCGCGCTCATGACCCTGATGCCGAGGAAACGGGCTACGCTCCCCTGTGCACCATGGTCGAAGACGACAGCTACGGACTCGACTCTGACGAAAACGGTCCCTACGTTGAACTCTGCTTTACGACAGACATGTCAAAGGTAGTCTTGTCCGAGCAGCAGCGCATGCTGTTCGACGCCGACCGGGCGACCACCATGCGAGTATGCGTTACTGCCGCTGCAGAGCGAGCTGTGGTCGTCAAGGAGGACGACCTCCTTACGAAAGCTGACATTCAGGCGAATCCCGAGACAATATCGAAGGCCCTTTTTCACTGAGCTCAAGACATGGTTCGACAATAAATGCTTCAAAATGCAGGAGATCGCCAAATCGTCGAACATCGTGACTTCGAGATATGTATACAAATGGAAACTCGTTAAAAACGACAAGGGTGAGATGGGGCGCGCCATCCGACTTCGCTCGGTACTTCGGGGCTTCATGGGCCCAGAAGCTTTCGATGTAGAAACATTTTCGGGAACAGCCAGAAGCTCAAGCCAGAGGTTACTTGCCAGCACGGCAGCGCGCAAGAAACAGTGGATCATTGCTTCCCTGGACATCAGCATGGCCTTCCTAGAGGGATGGACTTATCGAGAACTCGCTGAGGCAACTGGTGAAAAGGAACGCGTGGCGTGCTTTACTTTGCCGCCTGGGTCGGCAACTGCGCTCCGTGCTCTTCCAGGATTTAAGAACTACGACGAGTCAAAGCACTGTTTGCAGTGCTTGAAACCGGGCACAGGCACTAAGGACGCCCCACGGGCTTTCTCACTTAAGCTCAGGAGAACCACCAGAGGATTTGGCCTCCGACCTACGTCCTACGACGAGGAGTTCGAGACGAGCAGCAACCTGCTCACGGCCAAACATGTTGATGACATTAACATGGCCGGTACTGAGGACACGATTGACAAGTATGCCAAATGCGTTGAGGATACTTGTGGTAAGTGTAAACTCAACAAGCACACATCTACGAACTGTGCTGTGAGGTACACCAAGGATGAGGGCGGCAATGTCACTTTGGATCAAGATGAATACATTAAACAGCTCCGTCCTATACGACATCCTGAATTGACCGGCGCTGACGCTGACGCTCAAGCGACCAAGATGGTGGCAGATATGTTCGTCAGCCGCAGAGGTGCGCTGGCATACCCATTGATCACTCAGATCTGGTTGATGGTCTATGTTGTATCTAGACAGCGTGTCCAAGAACTGACCAATATTCAAGTGCGACGACTGAACGCGATCACCAGAAAGCTACAGGCCTGCCCGAAGATCATCTACCAGGCGATGAACCCCACGGGCGCGGTCGACCTACATAGCGACTCAGGCTACCGACGCCTGAGTGGAGACGCCGACGACGACGTCAAAGGCTATGGCATTCGCGGGGCAAACCTGCTGCGACGTGGAAACACGTCATCCGACAAGCCTGTCGTTCACTTGATTGATGCGCGCTGCAAGTCTCACCGCTTGCAAGTCCGCTCAAGCTACTCAGCAGAAACACTTGCAGCAGCCCATAATTCGGAGGACTGTTATCCCAAGATTGTGACTCTGCACGAGCTCCATGCGGGGCCACTCACGCCCACTCAGTTGAAAGACATACTCGAGTTGGGTGGCCTGAGCATCAAGGTCACCTTGACCATCGATGCTGAGTCTGTCTTCAAGTCCTTGTCAAGCAAAGACCTGAAGAAGCCGACTGAGTGTACCTTTTTAGGACACATAAGTTGGAGACGACAGATGATGGAGCGCGGAATCGTGCATAGCATTCAGTGGCGTGATACCAGCGATATGATTGCGGATGGACACACACACAGGGAGCATTGACAGAGAAATGCCCCTACAAGTCATGGGAGGTTTACAGACCTTCAAACATGACCTGAAGAGACATGCGCCACATTGGGCCCGCCAGACATCCAATTCTGACGACGCCTGATGAGTGCGTCCTACATTCGCGAGGCAACTCGCTGACGGGTCCAGCTCCTTTGGGCCCGTCTCTTTTCCTGTCTTTATATAGGTTAGCTGCTGAACTGTTCTTGCTAGATGGGTGGCGGACGCACGCTTCGTCTCCCTCCCCCCCCCGACTGTAAAGCGAGCTGGGCGACATAAGGAGTGGAAGCGAGCGTGCGCCCGCGGCCGTATTGGCTCAAGCGGCCGGCCGCCCAGATTTGTCTGCGCCTCACCGCGAGGCACACTATCGCTATTGATACTAAAAGGCATACCCATTTACTTGACATGGCATCCCTCTTGCATTGGGGACTATCGCTACTACGGTACAGCCGAGCTGGAGCTTGGCTTCGCCTGAGGCGAAGCTGTTGGCGGGGCCTCCCAGCCCTTTTCAAGCTTCTTAGGCCATCTTGAGGCCCTTGGGCGTCTTAGAAAAATATTTCGGCGACTCGAGGCCTTCTTAGACCGTCTTGGGAGCCTCGTGGGGCCGCCTTGGCATGTCCTGGGGCCCTCTTGCGCTCGAAAAGGTCACGCGGGAAGATGACCCAGAGCCCAGGGGGCACGCGGGAAGCCTGAAGAGATTTGAGAATTTCGGGTCCGGGCCCCTACGACACTTCTCAGCACGAGACTTGAGGACCAGAGGGTGAGGCAAATGACCTGAGGACACGCCCAGTTTTTGCCCAGAGGCACGGTGGCGGATCTAGAAGCAAATGGAATGGATGAAGAGGAGGAAGAAGTGGGATGAAGGAGGAGGATCAAGAAAAGGATCAGGAATCAAGAGGAAGAGAAGGAAAAAGGAGGAGCTGCCCTCGGGCGTAAGGAGAACGGCAACGACCACTTCAGGCGCCGGGAATACCAGAAGGCCAAGAGATGCTACATGAAGGCATGCGAGGTCTTCGGTGGCGACTACGAGGCTCCCGCGAACGAGGTGACTGGCTTGACTCCCAGCTTCAGCGCTGGTCATATTCGCTTTCAAAGTTTCCAGTCACTACATGCATGGAAGGCGAATCATTTCAAAATGTGGTTGTCGCTGTTTCGATTCTTTTGGAACCATAACTCCACGTACGTTCGTCTTAAAGGCTCCAGGCGCTACACGTATGGAGCGCGGATGGTTTTCAGAATGTGGTTGTTGCCTTAGCTCCACGCACATGTGTTTGACAATATTCCAGCCAGTTCACTTGTGGAGTGCGAGTTGTTTTCGCCATGCGTTCGTCGCCCTAGCGCCACACACATTCGTTTCAGAAATTCCAACATCTACACGGATGAAGGACGGGTGGTGTTCAAAATGTGGGTGCCGTCCTAGCGTCATGCACATTCTTTTTCGATGTTACCACCATCTACACGGATGGAGGGCGGTTGGTTTTCACATGTGGTTGCTTCTCTAGCATTACGCACGTTCGTCTTAGAAGTTTTCAGCCGTTACACGGATGGCGGGTGAAGTGTTTTTCAAATGTGGTTCTCGCCGTTGTGCCGAATTTATTCGTTTCATGTGTGGAGGGCGGTGTTTCGTTGGAATCGCACTAGAGGACATCCAACCAGTTGCTCGCACGTGGCATGTAAAGGCAGCGCGCTGGTCGTGGGCGAGATTGCAGGGTGACGAATGCGGTTCAGTAGCACGTATTATCTATTCTCTGATCTGCATTGTCTACGGTTTGTTCTATATTGTCTACTCTGCACCCCCTTCCCTACATGTGAGCTCTGCACTCCACGCTTAATTGTTTATGCATATTTTTCTAAAATATACGATCACCATTCCTCTGCTCTGCGCTCTCTGTTTTCTACGTAATGTGTTCGTTCCATGTCATTTAACATATGAAGGTTCTAGATTCTAAGCTGTATCAGCCCAGCCTGGTCTATCAGCCCGCCTTACTCCTTACTATATCCCCTACTGTATCGCCGAATTCTCTCTCTGTCTCTCTGTCGTTCTCCGTCTCTCTCTCTCTCTCTGTCTGCTCACTCCACTGTAGAAACCCATGGACCTGGCCGCCCACTGGAACCGGCGACTCATTCTCACCACGACCCGGAGCTGGGAAGCCAGGAACCGGGTCGCCCACCGATATCGGCAACACATTTTCCCGAAATTCTATTGATCTTGGGAATCGGGGGGCTTTGGAACGCAGGAACTTGGCCGCCCATCGAAATTCGCCTCGCATTTTTTCCAACGCGTTTCAAATTCGCGAGCGAAAGCTCCAACCAAATGCTCGCACGTTGTATGTACAGGCAGCATCAGGCAGCATGCTGGTGGTGATTTAAAGTAAAGGATGATGAATGTCGTTCCCTTGTCTCCGCTGTACATACGTTTGATCGTATGGTCCGTATGGTATCTCTATCCCTCTTTCTCTCGCTCTCCCTTCCTCTCTCTATTGTTATATGTTTGTTGTTGTGTTTGTTTCTCTCTATCTCTCTGTCTTTAGTATTTGTTTTGTTTGTTGTTGTTTATTTGCATATCTATGTTTGTTTTGTTGTCCTCTCTCTCTCTCTTTCTATATCTATGTTCATGTGTACACATATGCGTGTGTGTATATCCTACTCATATCTGATAGAGCGCGCGCGTGGGGCCCGAATGACTAAAAGGGGGGCCCCAGCTTGAAGCTACCCCCCTCCCCCCTTCCTTGCTAAAGGGGGGGGAGCTTCGGAAGCCCCCCCCCCCTCCCCCCCTTTTCGTGGTTCGGAAAGGGGGGGGGGCTTCCAAGCTACCCCCCCCCTCCCTCACTTTAATTGAGCCGGGGTGAGCCACCCCCTCCCTTTGAAAGGGGGGGGGACTTCGGAAGCTAACCCTCCCCCCCCTCCCTCCCTTGGTGCAAAAGGGGGGGGGGGCTTGAACCTTCCCCCCTTTGGCCGCCCCTCCCGGAGCCATCGCCCTCCCTTTCGCCTCCATTTATTCCCGCCCCTCTCCCTCCTCCTCTTCTCCTCCGTTTGCCTCCTCCTCTTCCTCGTCCTCCTCATCCTCCTCATAGTCATCATCGTCATCCCCCCTTCCCCCCTTTGGCCGCCCAGCTCCCGGAGCCATCGCCCTCCCTTTCGCCTCCATTTATTCCCGCCCCTCTCCCTCCTCTTCTTCCTTTTGCCTCCTCCTCTTCCTCGTCCTCCTCATCCTCCTCATAGTCATCATCATCATCATCATCAGCATCATCATCATCATCATCATCATCATCATCATCATCATCATCATCATCATCATCATCATCATCATCATCATCATCATCATCATTATTATCATCATCATCATCGT